TAAGCCCTCCTTAGGAGACGTGAAGCTGTAGGAACGGTGAGCACACCTGAGAGGGGAACGTCATCTCTCCCCTTCTTCCCTCCAGTCTGCCACGCCCACCATGGGCAACACAGAGTTCTGGAAAACGCTCCGATATTTAAGTCTGCTGTACCCTTGCCAAGGGTCACGGGACATTCTCCTTGTGTCTGACGGGCACCTGCAGGATGAGAGCCTCACGATGCAGCTTGTGAAGAGAAGCCTCCCCCACACCAGGTTGTTTGCCTGCGGCGTTGGGTGAGTCCCCAAGAGCTGGTGGCTCGGTCGAGCCCCTGGGTGCAAACGGCAGCCTGCGGGGAGGTCCGTCCGCTGGCCTGCAGGGGACCTGGGGAAGTGCGGGCGCCCGCGCTGGTCCGTACAGCGCAGCGTGGCGGGGCAGGGCTCTGGGGTCTGGGCTCTCAGCCACTGCCGGGCCTCCAACACCGGTGGCCACTCATTAGCCCTGGACAAGTGGCTTAACCTCTCACCTGCGCAAGGAAGATGATAATGAAAATACCCGCCTCATAGGGTTGCTGTGAGGTTTAAATGAACTCGTATACAGAAAGCGCTCAGAGCAGAACCAACACACGATAAACTCCAAGTCATGTCAGATGCTAATATTTTACGTAAGGATCCAAGTTCCAGCCTGCCCCAACAGCCGGGTGTCGCATGGGGCTGGGGGCCCGTGGCCAGGCAGGGACACTGAACAAACTTCCTTCCTCCTTCCTTCTTCCTTCTTTCTTCCTTCCTTCCTTCCTCCCTTCCTCCCTCCTTCCTCCTTCCTCCTTCCTTCTTCCTTCTTCCCTCCTTCCTCCCTCTTTCCTTCCTCCCTCCCTCCTTCCTCCTTCTTTCCTTCCTCCTTCCTCCCTTCTTCCTTCTTCCTTCCTTCCCCCCTCCTTCCTCCCTCTTTCCGTCCTCCTTCCTCCCTTCTTCCTTCCTCCCTCCTTCCTCCTTCTTTCCTTCTTCTTTCCTTTCTCCTTCCTCCTTCCTTTCTCCTTCCTCTTTCCTTCTTCCTTCCTTCCTCCTCCCTTCCTTCCTTCCTTCCTCCTCCCTTCCTCCTTCCTCTCTCTTTCCTCCCTTTTTCCTTCCTCCTTCCTCTTTCTTTCCTCTTTCCTTTCTCCTTCCTCCCTCTTTCCTTCCTCCTTTCTTTCCTCCTCCCTTCCTCCTTCCTTCCTCTTTCCTCCCTCTTTCCTTCCTGTTTCCTTCCTCCTTCCTCCTTCCTCCCTCCTCCCTCCTTCCTTCCTCCTTCCTCCTTGGGGCCTGTCCTGGGATGGGGACGGGGTGTCCCCCAGGGCCTGGGAGGAACTCGAGGGGGTGTGACGGCGAGTCCGGGCGGGCAGTCGGAGAGCCTGCGAGAGCTGGGATCCTCTCTGCTCTTCTGTTAAGTCTTCAGGCTCTAAGTGTTTCTGCCTCTTCTTCCCCACTCGGTTCGCCTTTACAAACTCCAGTAAGCCGAGCTCTCCAGGAGTGGACGGTCCATCTCGCTGTCTCCCTGGTGTGTGGACTTGTCCTGTGAGGGCTGCGCAGCAGCGCGGGAAAGACTCCAGCCGATCTGTGACATACAAATAAACCCGTCTTAAGGATTTTCTAGTCAATGTTATGATCATAACCAGTTCGTATTGATGACTAATGGCAAATCCAGTCTTTGTCGATAGGCTAAAGTAAATTTCAGAAATAACTTGCATAAGCTCTGTCTCTGAAAAATAGTTGATCATTTCTTTAGTATCAGGAGGAACCCCTCTAAGAAAGGAGTTCTTAAAAGTTGTAGAATTATCGTTGCGAGAAACGTAATAGGACGCTTACTTACATATCAAAGATGTTCTTTGCTAGAGTGAGAGTTACTTCTTGCTACCCTTGCTCTGTAGGTGTGTATCAGATTTTAGGAGGGACACTTCATTAACTCTTTGCCAATTCTTGGCCTTTGGGACCAGATTCAGGTAACTGGTATTTATTGAAAGTAGGGTGACGTCTTTACCAGCATTCTGATACCTTTGGGTGTTTTTTTTTTAACCATATGGTCCCTTCCTCAATAAATTGGAAATCAAGAATTTCTACTTTTTCCTATTGTGAAAGATAAATTCTCTGACCTGTGGGAGCTTAAATTAGACAAACCTTCAGATGTTTCCTACTGTTACCATTTTATGTCTTTAACCTCAGCTACAGAAGAGTAGATTTTTCTTCAGGTAACGTGTCTCCCCTGTTTAGTTTTGTGCTTTCTCAGCACTGTTAACATGTACTTCAAAAATGTTTCTAAAATGTCTTGAACACTAACACGTGTGAAATGTGGTCAGTTCCACAGCAAATCGTCACGTCTTAAGGACTCTGTCCCAGTGTGGTGCCGGAGTGTTTGAATATTTTAATGCAAAATCCAAACATAATTGGAAAAAACAGGTAGGTTTTTATTAAGAAAACACCTTATCTCTAATTTTATGTGTACATGTAGAAATATTGTCTTCTTACAAGTCTAAGTGATGGTAACTTCTGTGTTTTCTTGAATGGACCAGGAGTTACAAAGAGGCAAAAGCCACCAAAGGTGTGGCCCCAGGCACCACCCATGTGGCTCCAGCGGCAACACAGTCAATACTTGATTGGGTCGTTCTCCTGGTTAACCGTTTGATTTCTGCCTTATGAAATGTCATGAATTTTTTAAATGAAGTGCTATATAGGTGTTGCCGGGATTAATTTTTTATTGGGATAAAAGATACATAAAATTTACCATTTTAACCATTTTAAGTATATATTTCAGTGCAGTGGCGTTAAGTACATTCACAGTGTTGTACAGCCATCACCTCTCTCTATTTCCAAATGTTTTCGTCATCCCAGATAGAAGCTCTGTCCCCGTTAAACAGCAGCTCTCCATTCTGCCCCAGCCCCGCTAGCCTCTGTTCTACTTCCGCCTGACTCTGACTGTGCTCAGTACCTCGGATGAACAGAAGCACGCAGTCTTCGTCTTTCTGCCACTGCCCCATTTCACTCGGCAAATGTCTTCAGAGTTCATCTGCGTTGTAGCACGAGTCAGACCGTCCTTCCTTTTTAAGGCTGGATGGGCCGTCGTCTGTCCTGTCTACGTTCCGCCTTCTGTTTTCTTCATCCGTCCGTTGATCGCTGATGGGCACCCGGGTTGTTTCTGCCTTTTGGCTGCTGTGGCAGCGCTGCCGTGAACGCGGGTGTACAGATGCCTGGTTGAGACCCCACTTTCAATTATTTCGAGTACACGCCTGGAAGTAGGATCACGTACCACCCGGGTTTGGTTTTTGCGAACCACCACACCGTCTTTCATGGCAGTGGGTCGTCTTACCTCCCGCCGGCACGGGGGTTCCAGCCTCTGCACATCCTCACCAACATCCATTGTTGTGTGTGGGTGTTTTTGAATAATAGTCATCCTAATGGCTGTGAAGTTGTGTGTCATTGTGGTTTTGATTTGCATCTCCCTAATGACAAGTAATGTTGAGCATCTTTTCATGCGCTCGTTGGCCAGTTGTGTATCTTCTTTGGAGAAATGTCTATTCAAGTCCTTTGTAGGGTTAATTTTTATAACTGGAATCTACCCATACCAAAGTTCTCTGTTAGTAATTAGCTAATGGAATGATTTTAGGATGCTTTGTAAATCTAAATGATGTGATAGTGCTACCATTAAAAATTCTATTTAAAATCTTTTTGGAAAAGTACCCTGTAACAAGAAGGAGAAAAGAAACCAAAGAGCTACAAAATCCCCAAAGGATAGAATGCAAACTTTATTTTGTGTTAAGTAATTTCTCTGGATATAACATGGAAAGAGGAACAATTCCTTTTTTGTGAATAGGTAGAAGACCAGATGGCCAGGTTACGTTCTCCCAGCTGTCACTCTGTGTCGGTCAAATGGCAGCAACTCAGCACAGACGCGCCGGAGCCCCTGCAGGCCCCAGCCCAGGTGCCATCCTTGTTCCACAACGATCGACTCCTCGTCTATGGGTTTATTCCTCATTGCACACAGGTAGGCGGGCGCACAGTGTGTTATGCTATTGGAAGACCAATATATTTCGCTCTTGACTTTTTGTCCCTTTTTTCTTCCTTCTGCTTCTTGCTGGTAGATTTTCTCCTAGGAACATAGCTGGTGGTTAGCCGAGGCTCTGGGGAGGCTTCTAATGCCCACGGAAATGGGAGAGGAAATCACCGAAAGAATTGTTGTTAAACTAACCAAGGCACTGTGGAGTGGAAAAGCTAATGAGGAATTAATGTTTTTCCCCATTTCAGGCAACCCTATGTGCAC